TCCGCGCCATCAAGTCAACATCAGACGAAATCGAGCGAGGGAGGGGAGGGGAGGATCGGCGGGTGGGGGAGGAACCGACCTGTCGATGAGGATCTTGCGGTCCCCCATCCAGGGGATGAGGTGCTGTCCCTGTTCCTGGGCCAGGGCCCGCTCGTCGTCCCGGAACAGCTTGCAGGCATAGCCGAAAACCAGCAGCTCCACTCGGCTGCCCCCACCGCCGGCGCCGCCGGGCCCGGCCTCCTCCTTCGTGCCGCTTTTTCTCTCGGTTTTGGCGCGGGCTCCGCCCGCGCCGTACATGACAGCGTCCCCGGCGTCCAGGCTGGTGGTCTTCTGCGCTGCGCGACGTCCCCGATGCCTCCGACTGGTCTACCCCCTCAGTCAAAGGCGTCGCATCCCGGCCCCAACCTCAACACCGCCGCCATAGCAGGCCACAAAATGGAGGAGGCGCCACTTCCGGTGCGGGTGCCTGCGCTTCCGGCGAGCGGACCGGCAGATTCGCCACGGCCGGTAGTCTCTAGAGCCGCTCGAAAATAGGTTGGCTCTCCTTTTCGCATTCCGACGCGTCTACACAACGGGAGCTGCTTGCCCCGGGGGAGAGCGCATTTTTTAAAACCTCCATTTTCTCGAGCTGCCGGCGGGAACGTGACGAAAGCGCGGCGTGGGGCCGCGCGCCGGCTTCCGCCGCGGCCTGGCTGGGCGGTGGCAGAGCCTGAGGGCGGGGCCCGCGCGCTGTCCCAGCGGGCGAATCCTTGCTGGCGGCCGCCTCTTACCCCGAGAGGCGGGAGGGCCTCAGGCCCGCTCGGGCCGTATCCGAGTCGCCCGGGCCGGGCGTTCTCTGAGACTCCCGTGTCCTCCGCGACCCCGGCGCGGGGGGGCGGCTGACCCTCGGCGTGACTCCCTCCGGAGGCCCCGGGGCGGCCGTCAAAGGCATGTCGGGCGGCGGGTTTCATGGCTATGGGACGCCTGCGGGGGACGGGTCGCGGCGCTGTAGGGAGACCCCCGTCTCGGGCACACGTGCGACTTTCAGCGCATTTCCTCCGCGCCGCAGCTTTCCCGCCTGCAGTTGCGTTAGGATCACTCGCTCCCTTCGACCACGGCGACTGGAGGTCACACTCCACGGGACTGGAGCGCAAGAGCTCGGCCTGGGATCCCATTCCCCAGCTGCCCTTGACTGGAGAGCTACCAGGTAGACGTCCTCCCTGGGTCTCAGGTCCATGACACGTTGTCACAGAAGGACGTCTAACTGGTGAAGTTGGAATGCGGTCACCGGCAGGAATGTTCACAGGGGTTTGAGAATTAAGCCCCGGGCAGTTCCCACCCTACAGCCTTTGTTCTGCTGGCTTACGGAAGGACCACACTTCTGCCTTTCCACTGACAGGTCACCCAGGTCAACTCTGGCATCCCTCTGTCAGCCAGGTCTTGTTCCTGCCACACTGCCTAGAGTGGCCCCTTGCTGGTGACTCAAGCGGCCCTGCCGGTTCACCTTGGTAGCGCTCTGTGTTCAGCCTCCTGCTGGAATGAGCTTTAGGAGACCAGGGGTTTGTTGGGTTCACCTTACTATCCTCAGTGCCTTCAACAGCATCTGTACATAGTGGGTCAGCACCAGAGAAGGAGCAGGCCAGCAGAGCATGACCAGGGCCAACCTCCCAGTCCCATCTTCCGATCCAGCTCTACCAGGCGGCCCTGTTGCGGCTGTGGGGGAGGTACCCCCACACGGTTCTTTGATAAAGCCTGTGTTGGCTGCCCTCAGGCGTGTGCTGGTCTGTTGGGGTGTCACACACCCTTCAGGCTTTCCCTTGGGTTCAGAGAACAGGATTTTAAAGTAAATAAGGAGGCCATTAGCCTGAGGTTGTCTCTGTAACCGGGGCTCCTGTGTAAGCAGAGCAAAACCCAATTAAATGTAAACAGTGAAACTAAAGTTTAACTGATCAGACACCGCCAACTGAGCTCTAACTGGGGACTTTCCACTGGGTCACACCCAAATAAGGCAAATGTCTTGCTCTAGCCAGTCAGGTAATTTCTCTACTTTGCTTTCTGTTGAGTCTATAAAAGTTCACTGCACAAGCTGCAGAGTGTGGAGTGGAACTCCCTGAACCTCTTCCAGTTCTGAGTGCTGCCTGATTCATGAATTGTTTTTTGCTCAGATACACTCTGTTAAGTTTATTTTGTCGGAAGTTTTTTTTTTTTTTTTTTTTG